GTCGCCGCCGAGGCGCTGAAGGCCGGTTCGGGCTTCAGTGCAGGCCTGCGAGGGCAGGGCCTGGCGTCCCCCGCACCAAGACTGCCAGGCCGAAGAGGGCGAGAGCGGCTCACGGTGGGGGAAGCCCCGAGGCCGCGCCGGGGTCCCGCCTGTCGCCCAGCGCGTGGGGGGCCGAGGCGGGGGGGGTCGCTGGAGCCCAGGAGTTGGAGGTCAGCTGGGCCACAGAGCAAGACCCCGTCTTTGCAGAAGGTCAGAAAATTGGCCGGGCGTGGTGTCGCACACCTGTCATCCCAGCGCTTTGGGAGGCGAGGCGGGAGGAGCGCTTGGACCCAGGTGTTCGAGGCCAGCCTGGGCAGCGTAGAGACCTCGGTCTCCACGAAAATAAAGTGAAGTTTAAGTTTAAGAAAGGAGCTGGCTCCTACAGTTAGGCAACTCCTCAGTCCAACGGGGGAAAGAAGATTTGGCTTTTGAAGCAATTAGCCAGAGCAGTGTTATAGATTCCAAGTGTTGAAACAGTTCCCTAGAAGAACATAACATGCTGAGTGCTAGAAAGTCAGAGAAGTCTCTGTGCAGGTGGAATTTGAGTGGAACTTAAAGAAGTTAGCAGGATTTGGATCCGAGGGGGCATTCTCAGCAGAAAGGTTGACGACTTGGCTACTGGAGTGACTGATACCTTCACTGCCTCAGGGTCCTTTGCGCTGATGGGGATACGATTCCTTGCAAATGCTGTGTTCTGGCTCTGGTTTTACCTCTTTAGGAGTGGCTTTGAAGAGATGTCGTCCCCTGTGATCCGGGAGGCAGAGGTGACACTGACCGCACGGAAACAGAGTGCTCAGAAGAGAGTTTTAAGTATCCTTTGCATTTAAGCATCCTGATGTTTTGCCACATACTTGCAGCAGTGTTGTAGAATGTTCTTTTTATGGGTGGTGCTAAACGTTGGCTAGAATGCAGTCCTGTAGAAATTAGTTTTTTCTTTTTTCTTTTTTTTTTTTTTTTTGAGTTGGAGTCTCACTCTGTCACCCAGATTGGAGTGCAATGGCTGCTCCCGGCCACCGCAGCCTCGACCTGCTGGGCTCCGGCGATCCTTCCGCCTCAGCCTTCCAAGTAGCTGGAACTACAGGCATGCGCTACCACACCGGGCTCATTTTGATTTATTGTAGAGATGAGGTCTCGCCAAGTTGCCCAGGCGGGTCTCCAACCCGCGGGCTCAGGCAATCCACTCACCTCAGCCTCCCAAAGGCGCGGTATTGCAGGCTGAGCCACCGAGCCTGGCAAAATTAGTTTTTTCTGCTCCTCTTATCTGTTATTTGCTAAATGCTGAACTTTAATGTGATTAAGATTTAGGTTTCCCTGAGAATAAGGATATTCCATTTTACTGCTGACTATCATGTTTTGGTTAGCGTCTACTGAGATTAGATTTCCTTTTTATTTTTTTATTTTTATTTCTATTTTTTTTGAGTTGGAGTCTTACTCTGTCATCCAGACTGGAGTGCAGTGGCCGCTCCCAGCCACTGCAGCCTCAATCTGCTGGGCTCCGGCTATCCTTCCACCTCAGGCTTCCAAGTAGCTGGAACTACAGGCGCATGCTACCACGCCCGGCCAATTTTTGATTTTTTGTAGAGATGAGGTCTTGCCAAGGTGCCTAGGCGGGTCTCGAACCCGCGGGCTCAGGCAGTCCACTCACCTCAGCCTCCCAAAGCGCGGGATTATAGGCTGAGCCACCGAGCCCAGCTAGATTTCCTTTTTAAATTTGAGATCTCTCTAAAAACTCTTAGTTCACTGTGTAGTTAAGACTGAAAAACAGTGGCCATAAAATACCTTGTTCTTAAAAAATGTACTCACATAAAGTGAAGATGTGGTTAATTCTAACTTTAAAGATCTGTTTTCTACATGGAAAACTTTTCTTAACTCTTTCTACAGTTCGAGCATCCCAAGATGAAAATTTTGGTAGTGCTACACCAAAAAACCAGGCTATTCCACGAACTCCCAGCTCATTTCGACAGCCATGTAAGGTTTTTGGCTTTTAAAGCATTTAATAATAGCAGTTATAATAGCAGCTAACATTGTACACATAGTAAGTACAGTATTTGGTTACAATATCAGTAATTAAGCTCAAATTATTTTATTTTATTTTATTTTGAGTCAGAGTCTCCCTCTGTCGCCTAGACTGGAGTGCAGGGGCATGTTCCTGGCCACCACAGCCTTGACCTGCTGGGCTCAGGTGATCATTCTGCCTCAACCTCCCAAGTACCTGGAACTACAGACACGCGCAATGACACCTGGCTAATTTTTCTTGATTTATTGTAGAGATGAGGTCTCGCCAAGTTGCCCAGGCTGGTCTCAAACTCGTGGGCTCAGGCAGTCCTCTCAAATATTAATAATAATGATTCCATTCCTATTTGTGAAGCTTACCATGAGTAAGGCACCGCAGTTTACACAAGTACACAGTAACTGTGACATAGGTCTTGTTGTCTCTGTTTTACCAAAACTGGAAGCGAGACTTAAAGAAGTTAATTAGTGGGAGAAGTAAATATGTAAGTAATGGAAATAGTATTCAAACAAGGTTTGTATACTCGAGTGTATGCTGGCTGTATTACTGCCTCGGTATGCCTTAGAGAATTAGAACATGGAGACTCCACGGACTTTTAGTGTCTTCGTTATGTTATAGTGAAAGCATCTGTTTTCGCAGTGAAACTTTTCCTGATAGGCTCAGTAAGATCAAGAGCTCAAATTTAGAAAGACAGGTTAAATCCTTGTGTCATAGAAGTGTTAACATTTAAAGTACTTGTTGGTTAGAATCTAAATAATTGGAAACTGAAGTCATTCTGTCCTCCTTGTCTGTCTGACACTCATGCCCTTGGGTTTTCTTTGTTTGTAGTTACCCCGCTGAGCCGAAGCTGCCCCAGGCCGCCAGATGTTTCCTGCATTCTGGGAACAGGAGGGAGGTCTCCCCGACTTACACAGTCTTCGGGGTTCTTGGGAAATCTCTCCACGGTATGTAGAAAAATAGGGCTGGAACCTTCTCCCTTTTTATAAAAGTGTGATATTTGGCTGAAAAGCCTTTTAATGAAAGTTGAGGGCAACCCCCTCAGGTCCCCTCCCACTGTGGGAGATTTTCTGTCCTCTCGATAAATCCTGCTGTAAAAAAAAAAGAAAAGAAAAGAAAATGGAAGTCATGTTCACCACAAAAGTAACTCCAGGTTATGTGGATTGAGATGTTTGATCAGATGTTCAAGAAACTGAACCCTTACACACCTCAAGTCACAGGTGGAACCTGTGATACCAGCAGCCTTTAGGTGCGGATACAATGTTTAAATTTGGCAATTTGTGATCAGAAGAAATACACTCTGGTTGGTTGCTGATGGCTGTAAAAGCTGTAACCAGTTTTGCAACAAAGGAGCGTAGGAATCCAAGGGTGGTAGATGAAGGATATCATATGAACGAGAGACAGTGCTTTGAAGGGTACAAAAGAGAAAACTGGAGAAAGTCAACCAGATGGTGGCTAATGCTTGTCATCCCAACACTTTGGGAGGCCAAGGTGGGAGAATGGCTTGAGGCCAGGAGTTCGAAACCAGCCTGGGCAGCATAGTAAGACCTCATCTCTACACAAAATCAAAAAGATAACTGGGCGTGGGGGCATGCACCTATAGTCTCAGCTACTTGGGGGAGGCTGAGGTGGAAGGATCACCTGAGCCCAGGAGGTCAGGGCTGTGGTGAGTTGTACCACTGCGCTCCAGCCTGGGCAACAGAGTGAGACGCCAACTCAAAAAAAAGAAAGTAGATACACTTTAGGAGTCATTAGGATACAGTGTTGAAAACAGCAGAAGAAATGTTATGCAAACTCTGATCCAGCGTGCGTTCACCTGGGTGTTAAAAATACCCTGTAGAAAAAGAAAGGATTATGTCTGAGGGGAAGAATTTCATTGTATTAGTAGAGTATTGTGGCACGTTTAGTTCCAAAAACAGGATTAAAATGGTTCCTCTATCTTTGACTCTGTGCTTATCAAAAAGGCACAGATGTTTTTATGCACATGTGAAATAGTCTAAAATAGGTGGTTTTTTTGGCCGGACAGTATAGCTTATGCCTGTAATCCCAGCACTTTGGGAGGTCAAGGCAAGAAGATTACCTGAATCCAGGGGTTTGAGACCAGCCTGGACAACTTGGTGAGACCTTGTCTCTACAGTAAATTAAAAAAAAATAAGCCAGGTGGGGTGGTGTGCACCTGTGGTTCCAGCTACTTGGAAGACTGAGGCAGAAGGATTGTCTGAGTCCAGCAGGTCGAGGCTGAGGTGGCTGGGAACATGCCACTGTACTCCAGCCTGGGTGACAGAGTGAGACTGCAACTCCAAAAAACATATATATTTAGGTGACTTTTAAGAGATAGTTTTCATCATAGAAGGTGAAATCAACCTTTGAAACTTACAGTCTTGTTGATTTTTAGAGTATTACTATTTAGCAATGATGTAGTCATGGAACAGTTTTATTCTACTTATGAAACTGGCTATTTTGGTAGGTTTATCTTGTTCTACTTAAAAATTTAAGTGAACGGACTGCATCCGGGGTTTAAGCAAAAGAAGATACAATGCTTTCTAGGGTACTGCCTCAGAACTACAGTGCCGACAGTCTCATCGCTGGTCTTGTAGGCCAGAACAGAGAACATGTGCACTGATCATTACAAAATTTATAGTTAAAGATATTTTCCCATTTTATTTTGCTAATTTTAATATCAACCATGAAAAGTCATCTTGGATTTAGGTTGCCCACAAGAAGTAAAAGTATCTGCTGTGTTAATATTTTTATTGTATGTCTGATGTCCACCTACCAAGATTTGGTTGTGGACCAAAGTATTCTTTGAAAGCAAAATGTGGTTGCTGCTTAAGATTTTCAGCTTAATCCCTAGTGGTCTAGGCTTAGGGAAAAATAAAACGGCTTTCCGTTGGGTCCTGATGCTAGTAACTGTGGGTGCTGAGAAGGAGGGGAGCAAGTGCTTGGCCTTGGCAGTGGCTGTGAGCAGTCCTCCTCTAGCAGTTACACCACATGGATACCTGGGTCCTGGGGCCCACGATGCCTGGCTTTTGTCCTGGGGAGACTCATTTAAAGGAGCATTTGTATTGTTGCTCATGCCTAGATTTTCAGTCAAGATGATTTCTAAAAGTTCTTATTCTGGATAGTAGAGGAGTGTGTGAGCCTCTGCCGGTGGCCCGGTGTCGGCAGTGAGGACGTTGGCAGGTTTTGCCCACGTGTGCACCCCCACATCCCATGAGAACTCTCCAGCGTCCTGCCACTTCATCCATAAAGACGTCAGGCCGCATCTCAGAGGCAAAAAAAGGATGCCTGCTTTAGCATAAGGACAGTGCTAGTTAATATCGCCCCAGCAGCCAGTCTCGGCGGCTCAACCTGTAATCCCGCGCCTTTGGGAGGCTGAGGTGAGTGGATTGCCTGAGCCCACGGGTTCGAGACCCGCCTGGGCAACTTGGCGAGACCTCATCTCTACAATAAATCAAAAATCAGCCGGGCGTGGTAGCGCATGCCTGTAGTTCTAGCTACTTGGAAGGCTGAGGCGGGAGGATCGCCGGAGCCCAGCAGGTCGAGGCTGCGGTGGCTGGAAGCGGCCGCTGCAGTGGCTGGAAGCGGCCACTGCACTCCAGTCTGGGCGATGGAGTGAGACTCCAACTCAAAAAATATATATGTATATCGCCCCAGCACACACACACAGTGCGCCCTTCAACATTTCAAATGTCCATTATGTCTCGTTTTTATCAGGTGCTTGGATTTCCCCAGCTGTGTCAAATTTTTTTTTTTTTTTTTTTTGAGATGAGATCTCACTCATCCAGGCTAGAGTGCAATAGCACGATTATGGCTCACCTCAGCCTCAACCTCCTGGGTTCAAGCAGTCCTCCTGCCTCAGCCTCCCAAATAGCTGGGACTACAGGCATACACCGCCGTGCCCAGCTAATTTTTTTTGTAGAGACACGGTCTTACTTTGTTGCCCAGGCTGATCTCAGAGTCCTGACCTCAAGCAATCCTCCTGCCTTGGCCTCCAAAAGCGTTGGGATTACAGGCGCAAGCCACCGTTGCTGGCCTTTTTGGTGCAGTCTGGCTCTGTCTCCCAGGCTGGAGTGCAGCGTTGCAGTCCTAGCTTACTGCAGTCTCAAACTTCTGGCCACAGGTGATTCTCCTACTTCAGCCTCACAAGTAGCTGGGACTATAAGCATGTACAACCATGGCTGACTATTTTTAAATGTTTTTTATAGTCACAAGGTCTTGCTGTGTTGTCTAGGCTGGCTGGTCTCAAACTCCTGGGCTCAAGTGATCCCTCCTCCTCGGCCTCTCAAAGTGTTGGGATTATAGAAATGAGCCACTGTCTCGGCCCCCTAGTCCTTTTATTCATTGCCATTCGTTTTTTTGAAGAAAGGAAGTCATTTGTCCTGTATGGTGTCCTAAAAATGAAATGTTGAGGTGAATTCACTGAGGTAGCACCTTATTTTACCTGCTGCTAGCAGCTTGAGTTTTACAAAGTATAAACATTTTACAAAATGTGACTGACTTTTTGAAAAAGCGTAGGGTATACAGGGAAGAAAAATAAATGTCTAGAGCATAACTTTCTTAACAAAATTGCTGCCTTTTAAAAATGGAGCCATCACTCCCAGGAGTTTGAGGCCTCCTCCAGCAGCGAAGTGGCCAGCACGCGGGGGCAGCAGCTCCCTCACTCCTCTATGCCTTCCTTTCTTTTCTCCCCAGGTGACTAATCTGGACGACAGTTGTTGGGCAGCTGCACTGTCATCGCAGCGTTCAGGGCTCTTCACAAACACAGAGCCCCACAATGCAACAGAAGACATGACCCTCAGCGCGGTCATGTTGCGAGAGGACGATCCTGGGGAAGCTGGTGAGTGGCTGGAGCTTTGTGCTGTGGTACCTGTGCTTCCGCAAGGTCAAGGACACTGGCTCCTCCTGCGCCTGAATGTCCTTGTGGCGTGGTTTTTTTTTCTTTCCTCCTGTTTTTCATTTGTTTGTTTGTTTGTTTTCCTTGGGGGTTGACTTAAAAAACATTTATTTTCTGCCAGTTCTGGAGACTGAAAGTCTAGGTGAAGGTGCTGGCAGGGCTGGCTTCTCCCAAGGCCTCTCTCTGACCTTAGATGACTATCTTCCTGCACTCTTTCTCCTGTCTATAGTATATTCTCGACAAGCTCGTAAGGAATGGTCCTGACTGCACTGTCTGCTATACTGTCTCTAGAAGGTGAGAGCGTTACCTGAGTGCTCAGAGCAGCATCTTGCCGTAGTATATCTCAGTGTAAATAACAGTCTGTTGGGTTCCTAGACAAGTCTTGTATTTTAATTTATTTCCTTTTTGTGTGATTGAAAGCATGTCTCTTTTGCTGTTAGTTTTTACCCTAGCATTGTTGGTGTGTCTGTTTCTGGCCTGGGCCCTAATGCTGTTTTGTTAGATGGTATTCTTGCCTTACTGATCTGAGAATTGTTGGTGCCATCCCCTCTGGACAGTGTACCTGTACATTGTTAGTGCCTTGGGGTCTTCCCTGCGTCTTCGTCATGAGCTGACAAAGGAATGCTGGTCAGTGCTTACCCTGAACAAACATTCACTCATGTCTCCTACCCTGGCCTGTCAGTTAGTTGCAAGGACTACTCCCATTTCAGAGGAGAGGGTATTTGCTGTGCAGAGAGGTGAGAACTTGATGAGGGTCACCTGACTGGGCAGCCGTGGCCCAGAGCCCTGCTCTTAACACTTGAGTATCACTACTTTCTTGCATACTGAGTGACTCAAAAAGACTCTCCTTAACCTATAAGCCACAAGAGCCCCTTTTTAGGGGTGAGACCTTAAATATCATACTGTGCTGCAGTGAAGTGTGTACTTTCCCTGAGTGGCACATACCACTTAGTGTTTCTTATAACTTTCTCAGCTATTTCATTGTGTTGTGCTCAAAAGATAGTTGGATGCTTTAAAATTGGTCCACTTCTTTTAGTGATTGTTGATAATACAGAAAAGACTAATAACTAATACATCTTTAAGATCTTAAAAGATCAATAGGTGACAAAAGAAAAAGATGGACAAATTGGGCTACATCCAAATTATAAACTGCATCAAAGGATACAATCAACAGACTGAAAAGATAGCCATGAATGGAAGGATATATTTGCAAATTATGTTTCTGGTTGGAGTTAATATCCAAAATACATAAAGAATTCCTGTATTCAACAACAAAAAAAAAACCCAGATAGAAAAAATAATAACTTTTTGTTTAGATCATATAATATGTTAAATGATCTCCTTTTCTTCCTTTAAAAAAAAGAAAAAAAATGGGCAAAGAACTTGATTAGACATTTCTCCAAAGGAGATAAACAAATGGCTGGTAAGCACATGGAAAAGTGCTTGGGGTCACTATACACCAAGGAGATGCAAAGCAAAGCCTCCACGAGATACCACGTTATGCCCACTAGGACAGTTACTAGAAAAGAAACACAAACCGGACACGGTGGCTCACACCTATAATCCCAGCACTTTGAGAGGCTGAGGCAAGAGGATTACCTGAGCCCAGGGGCTCAAGACCAGCCTGGGCAACTTGGCGAGATCTTGTCTCGTCTCTACAGTAAATCAAGAAAAAGTAACTGGCTGTGGTGGCACATGCCTGTGGGTCCAGCTGCTTCGAAGGCCGAGGCAGAAGGATCACCTGAGCCCAGAAGGTCAAGGCTGCGGTGACCATGGGCGTGACCCTGCACTCCAGCCTGGGCGGCAGAGTGAGACTCCGACTCAAAGAAAAAGAAAAGAAACGAGAGTAACCAGTGTCAGCAGGGATGTGGGGAAAGGAGAATCTTGTGTGTCAGTGGAGGGATGTAACGTGGTGTAGCTGCTGTGGAAAGCAGTATGGCAGGTCCTCAAAAAATTAAGAGCAGGACTACCCTACGATCCAGCCGTTCTGCCTGGGGGGGGTGTAGCCAAAAGAATTGAAAGCAGAGTCTCAGGGATGTGGAGCAAGCCAGAGTCTGCAGATAGAGGAATAGACAAAATGTGCACTAGACACACAGTGCAATGTCACTATTAAGCCCAAAGGGAAGGACATTGGACACATGCTTTGACATGGATAAGCCCCAAGGACATTAGGCTCAGTGAAGGGAGCCACTCACAAAAGTCAAATGCTGTGGGCATCCACTTATGAGAGATGTTGAGAGTAGTCGGACCTACAGACACAGAAAGCAGGGAGACAGTTGCCAGGCGCTGGGGTAAGTGAGGAGTGGGCGGTGAGTGTTTGGTAAGGAGAGTTTCCATTGTGCAGGGTGAAGAGAGTTCTGTGGCAGCGTGGTGGAAACAGTAGCACAACAATGTGAATGTAGTTATGGTCGCTGTGCTTAAAAATGACACAGGAAGCAGGCACAGTGGTGCACACCTAATCCCAGCTCCATAGGAGGCCGAGGCTGGAGGATTGCTTGAGCCCAGGAGTTTAAGACCAGCCCTGACAACGTAGTGAAACGCCATCTCAAAACAGATTAAGATGATGGTTTTCTGTTATATGTGTCTTAAAAAATACAGCAGTGAATTAAGGAAAGATTGCAGTTATGGTTTTAAATTTTCAAACGAACAGAATTATCCGGAAACATGTCACTTAACTTTTTTCATTTATTTTCTTTTGAATGTGTTCCAGCATCCATGAGTATGTTCTCTGATTTCCTGCAGTCCTTTTTGAAGCACTCGTCACTTACAGTTTTTGACCTCGTGGAAGAGTATGAAAACATTTGTGGTAGTCAGGTAAGGTGATTTCACTCCATCTTTGGCTTAACTTTGGTACTTTTAGTTTTCTGCACACCATTAAGCTGCTAATTTTCTTTTCTTTTTTTCTTTGAGTTGGTGTCTCACTCTGTCGCCCAGGTTGGAGTGCAGTGGCACGCACCTGCCCTCCACGGCTTTGAACTGCTGGGCACAGGCCATACTTCCGCCTCAGCTTTCCAAGTAGCTGGAACCACAGGCACACACCACCACGCCTGGCTAATTTTTTTATTTATTGTAGAGATGAGATCTCACCAAGTTTCCCAGGCTGGTCTCGAACCCTTGGGCTCAGGCAGTCCTCTCGCCTCAGCCTCCCAAAGTGCTGGGATTTCAGACGTGAGCTGCAGCACCTGTTCAAAGCTGCTAATTTTCATGCTGTTTAAGGGTGATGTCTCAATGGAGCAGTGGCAGGAGTGGCGGTGGGTTGACCACAGTGTCCCTGCTTTTTACATCTTGATGGTTCTCAAAAGATTTCATTGGGGCCAAAGGATTCTGCTGCTCTAAGAAAGGAAGATCCAAACTGTGCTAAGAGCTCTCAAAATCCAGCCACAAGAAAATGAACAGCTCAGTTAAAAGTTGGGCAGAAGCTGGGAACAGACATTCACTGGGAAGATATGCAGGTGGCAGGTGAGCCTCTGAAGAAATATGTGACGTCATCGGTCACTGGGGAGCTGCAGACTGGAAGGGTGAGTCGCCACTACCCACCCATGGGGTGTGGATGACCCAGAGCACACCCAGACGCTGGGAGGACGCAAAGCAGCAGGAACCTCCCATGTGACCAGTGGAAGCATGGAACAGCACGGTGGCCCCGGAAGGCAGTTCGTGGCCCCCCACAGCACTAAACATACTCTTACCACAGCATCCAGCAATCCCACTCCTTGGAGTTTGCCCAGGTGAGTTGAAAATGGTGTCCACACAAACACCTGCACATGGATTCTTGTTCCAGCTTTATTCACAAAAACCTGGAGTTAACTAAGATGTCCCTCAGCAGGTGCATCAGGCCATGAAGCCCATTCGGTGCTGGAAGGAAAGGTGCTGTCAAGTTTGGGGAGGCTTGGAGCTCCCTAAATGCACACTCCTGGTGAAAGAAGCCCATTTCGGAAAGGCTGCAGCATCTGATTGCTGCACACGACATTCTGGAAAAGACAGAGCATGGAGACAGTGGGGTCAGGGTGAACAGAAGGGACACAGGATCTTCAGGGCAGGAAACTGTGTCACCCTGTAGTGAGGAACAAGCCGTTGTGCACTGTCCAGACCGTGACGTGGACACTGAGGGCAAACCCTCCTGTGAACTGTGGGCTCTGGGTGACAGTGACATGTCAGTGCGGGTTCATCAGCTGTAATAAGGTCCCACTCCGGTGGGAAGGATCAATGGTGAACCTAAAACTGCTCTAAGAGATAACGTTTATTTTTAAAAGAGGGAAAAGGCTTCAAGAAACTATTGCATTCAAGAATATTTGAGGACAGACATTGTGGCTCACGTCGGCCGTCCCATCGCTTGGGGAGGCTAAGGCCGGAGGATTGCTTGAGTCCAGGATTTTAAGACCAGCAACATGGTGAGACTGCATCAGTACAAAAAATAAAAATTAAAATAGTTACCTGGGTGTTGCGTGCCTGCAGTCCCACTTACCCAAGAGGCTGAGGCACAAGGATCCCTTGAGTCCAGAATTGGAGGCCATGGTGCATTGTGACCATACCACTGTACCCTAGTGTGAGTGACAGAGCAAGACCCTATCTTTAAACAAAAAAGAAATAGTAGTAGACAGCTTTTTTAGCATGTATTAACATTTCAACAATCAACCTCTGAATTGGTCCATTATAAAAGCAGTAACTTTGTTAAATTTAAGGAAAAAGCAATAATAATCACTGAGTGAATCACTGAAGTCGGGATTCCAACTGAGAATTTAGTGAATGAGAATTATAGGGCTGAGTGGGGTGGCTCACACCTATAATCCCAGCACTCTGAGTGGTCAGGGTGGGAGGTTCACTTGAGCCCAGGACTTGGAGACTAGCCTGGACAACACAGTGAGACCTCATCTCTACAAAAAATTAAAAAATAAGCCAGACTGGGTGGTGCACACCTGTAGTTCCAGCTACTCAGGAGGCTGAAGTGGAAGGCTTGCTTGAGCCCAGGAGGTGGAGGCTTCAGTGAGCTATGTTTGTACCACTGCACTCCAACCTGGGCGACAGAGGGGGACCCCTGCTCAGGGGGAAAAGAAGTACAGGTAACACTCTTACTGAAGGCAGCTTGTTGGGGTGTGGGAAGGCCCGTGTGGCTCCTCGGGTTCTGAGTCAGCCGTCTTGCTCTTCATTCTCCCTGCTGAGAAGAGGAGGTAGTGATCGGAGCCTGAGAAGGGCTACCTTCACCCTGGGCCCGTATGAATCCTGAGGAGCAACTTCGTGTTCTTGGCAGACTAGTCGTACCTTCCCTTCGATCGTTTTGCATGTGTCTTCCTCCAGAAATGGCTTGAGATCTCTGCTCTGGAACAAGGAGGGACTTTGAAGAAGTACTTTTTAGAACTGACAGTGCCCAAGGCACGGTGGCTCATGCCTGTAATCCCAGCACCTTGGGAGATGGAGCCAAGAGGATTGCCTGGGCCCACAGGTTCAAGATCAGCCTGGGCAAAATGAGACCTCATCTCTGCAATAAATCAGAAAATTAGCCGGGCGTGGTAGCGCACGCCTGTAGTTCAGCTGCTTGGAAGGCGGAGGTGGAAGGATCGCCAGAGCCGTGCGGGTCGAGGCCGCGGTGGCTGGGAGTGTGCCCCTGCCCCCCAGCCTGGGCCACGGAGTGAGGAGGAAAAAAGGAAATGCCAATGCTTTGGTGCCAATCGTGGAAAATGTGTGTCATGGTAGAAATAGTTCAAATATAACATTAAGATGTTTTTTAAAATTTCCATTGCTACTGTGTTGACTCATGGATGATTTTGTCAGGTGTCAGTTTGATTTAGCTTAGCCTCTGGGTAAGTAGACAGGGAGAAAGCCTGTGTGCCATGCCTGTGGTAGTTGAAGCTGAATCTAGAGCATGTTCGACTCATCATGGATACATAAACGCCCTGCCCCAAGTTAGGACCATTCCACTAGGAATGCTGCATTATGTGCCCTTTAAGAAGACAGACTAGGCCGGGCTCAATGACTCACGCCGGTAATCCTATCCTTTTGGGAGGCAGAGGCAAGAGGATTGCCTGAGCCCAGGGGTTCGAGACCTACCTGGGCAACATGGCCGGACTTCGTCTCTACAATAAATCCAAAAATTACCTGGGCGTGGTGGCACATGCCTATGGTTCCAGCTACTTGGGGGACTGAGGCAGAAAGATCGCCTGAGCCTGGCAGGTCGAGGCTGCAGTGGCCGGGAACTTATCACTGCACTCTAGCCAGGCAACAGAGTGAGACTCTGACTCAAAAAAAAAAAAAGACAAGATAGGAAACATTTATAATATATGTTTTAAATACAATACTGTTTTAGCATTGTGTACTTGAAGAATACAAAGTTTTTTATAACTCAGAATTGTAGAAAACTAACCTCGTTACCCTCGTTTTTAAATCAGGTGAATATATTGAGTAAAATAGTGAGTCGGGCAACACCTGGACTTCAGAAGTTTTCAAAAACAGCCAGTATGCTCTGGCTGCTTCAGCAGGAGATGGTCACATGGAGGCTGCTGGCATCTTTGTACAGGTAAAGGCACACAGAACGCATAACTGAAATGACGGAAGGTAACAAGCCTGTGGCAGATTAATTCAAAAGAGAAGGATGTGCTTAAAACAAGGTCTTGCTACTTTTGAGGCTTATCGTTTCTAATACCTTGGTTGTCAGGAATGAATTATGAGAGAAGGCGGGAATGGGTGTTAGGTCATAAAGCTGATAGTTACCAACGTTTTTATTTTCTTAGCCAGGCTCGGTGGCTTAGCCTGTAACCCCAGCACTTTGGGAGGGCAAGGTGAGAGTGGATTGTCTGAGTCCATGGGATTGAGACCAATCTGGGCAACTTGGGGAGACCTTGTCTCTACAATAAATCAAAAATTAGCTGGCCATGGTAATGTGCGCCTGTAGTTCTGGCTACTTGGAAGGCAGAAGCAGAAAGATCGCTGGAGCCCAGCAGGTTGATCCTGGGGTGGCTGTGAGTGTGCCACTGTGCTCCAACCTGGGCAACAGAGTGAGACTTTGACTCAAAAAAAAGAAAATATTTTCTTCAATCCCACAAGACATCTGCAAAAATGTGGATATGTATAAAGATTTAAGGAAAGTACTAAGAATAAGGCAATGTTTAGGGTGGATAAATTAAGAAAAAGCCTGGATGCGATGGCTCATGCCTGTAATCCCAGCACTTTGGGAGGTTAAGGATTGCCCAAGCCCAGGGTATTCGAGACCAGCCCAGGCAGCTTAGCAAGACCTTGTCTCTACAATAAAATAAAAAAACTAGGCCAGGCATGGTGGCTCATGCCTATAATCCCAGCACTTTTGGAGCCAAGGTGAGAGAATTGCCTGAGCCTGCTGGTTTGAGACCAGTGTGGGCAACTTGGTGAGACCTCATCTCTACAATAAATCAAAAAATTAGCTGGGTGTGGTGACGCACACCTGTAGTTCCAGCTACTTGAAAGGCTGAGGCAGAAGGATCATCTGAGCACAGCAGGTGGGGTCGCAGTAACTTGCACTACATCCTGGGTGACAGAGTAAGAGACTCCAACTCAAAAAAAATTAGCTGAGCATGGTGGTTCTTGCCTATGGTTCTAGCTACTTGGAAGGCTGAGGCAGAAGGTTCGCCTGAGCATAACAGGTCAAAGCTGCAGTGGCCATTAGCGTGCCACTGCACTCCCGACACAAACAAACAGATCAATCAATCACTGAAAGGTAGATATATGTAATATGGAAGTTTGAAAGACATTAACCAGATTTTCTTTCTGTCAGACGCTTAGTTGTGAATTCTTACATTCATGTGAGATAAGGCTTTTTTATTTTGTCTTCTTTCTCCCCAGAGACAGAATACAGTCTGAATTAAAAGATGAAAATATGTTTGAAATTACTGTAAGTATTGTATTAATTTTTTCTTTATAAATCCTTAAAAATTAAAATATTTTCTACTAACAGGATTTTATTTTCAACCTCCATCTTGAGTTTTTTTACATAAAAAATTTTAGAAGTAAATAAAAAATACAATCTCATAAAATAATCAAATGTTGATTTATATTAGAGTTAAAGGTAAAAGCCTGTCTTCATCCCACTGAGTATTCATTATAAGTTTGTTATGTACCCTACCAGACATTGCTCTATGCATTTTTTTTTTTTTTTTTTGAGTTGGAGTCTCACTCTGTCGCCCAGACTGCAGTGCAGTGACTGTCCCGGCCACCACAGAATCGACCTGCTGGACTCTGGCGATCCTTCCACCTCAGCCTTCCAAGTAGCTGGAATTACAGCACGCGCTAC